TCCAGAGGTCGGAATTTAAAAATTAAGAAGACACAAATACGGACATCCTATGTTGGTATTCTAAAATATGAGAAATAAATATTCTGACCTCAGGAAGTCGGAAATAATAAAATATAAAACTGACCTCAGGAAGTTGGAAAATAAAATAATGAATTTTTCGACATAAAATAAAAACTGACCTCGAGAGGTCAGTAAATACCGACCTCCAGAGGACGGTATTGAATAGCGACCAAGCTTTTTCCGACCTAAGCTGGGATGTCGGTTTCAGGTCGGTATTTCAGGGAATACCGACCTCCGGAGGTCGGTATTTATAGGTTGATATTCACTATTTTTTTAGTAGTGGATACTACGCCTGCTACGGATATTAACAGTTAGCTCGGATACCAGGCGCATGTTTGACTATTCTCTTGTATATTGATTCTATGAGCGAATCAGGTTTACTTCTTATACTATGGTTATTATATATTGGTCCTGAGGGGCCGAGATCTATGTTTAAATGATGGGGTATTTCTTGTGTAGATCGGAATTGTATCTTAAACAATGTAGATGATGTTTAGGGACCCTTGGGTGATTGCTTGATAGGTGTGATGTATCATGTATGACTTGATGTAATGGTTGTAATTAGGGGGTGTACAAAATTGAACCGAAAATCAAACCAAACCGCAAATCGAGTCAACCCGAAAAAAAAACCCGACTAGTGGTAAAAAATCAACCCGAGACCAAACTAACCCGACATTATATATGTAATTTTAAAATTTTATTTTATACATAAAAATATTTACTTTGATATAATTTTTAAATATTTCTTATACATTTTCATGGTTTTTATCTTTTAATATATTATTTCAAGTTTGAATCATAGAATTCTGAATGGTTCAATAAAGATTATAATCCACAGAATTACGATAAAGCTTAAAGCAAAAAAAATAATCAATTCAACACTAAGAATGACAATAATATTGAATATTTGTTCTTTAGTTTTACATTGGTTTAGACAATTAAAATACATAATCTAATTTTAATTTTCTTTAATATTTAGTCATGTAACTAATACTTATTAAACTTAATTTTAGCATGATTTAGTACTTTTAAATTATGATCATTTTCATTATGACTTGTTAATTTGCAATATTTGTTTTACGCGATTTCATTATTATTATTTTTGTTGGATATTTTAGTGTCATTAATCATATCATATTTTGTGTTATTTTCTTAAGAAACACCTTAGATAGTTGTATTTTGGTAGGACTAAAGAAATATTTGAAGTACAAGTAAATTATATGTTTGTATAAATACTTTATCGGAAAAACCCGAAACAACCCGAAAAATCCAAAAAAATCCAGAAAAACCCGAGGTTGAAAAACTCGAGTTTTATTGGTTTGGTTTGGTTTATAAATTTAAAAATCCGACACAAATAATTTGGTTTGATATTTGAAAAAGCCGAACCAACCCGTCCATGTACACCCCTAGTTGTAATCATGTGGGACATGTTCCTGTGAATGTTAAGTCCGAGTAAGGACTGAGAGTCAGAATTATGTTTCTAACGGAAGTTATAAGTGTACGTTATCTATTTTACTAAGTTGTAGTTAAGAAGAATAATTTAAAAATACAATTTAAATTGAGGATATAATTTGAGCATGTATTTGATAAAAAAAACTCAGTTATACATGAGTTGTTGAAGTTAATAATCAGAAATAATCTAACAATAGATCTTGAGATCGGTGTCTCTTGCGACATCATGGGAATATCTGTCAAAAGCTATATATAAATCCAAAGGATCTAGCTATAGGATCTTTAAACAGCATAAAGGTATATAACTCTTTTTAAAATAAATAAATTCATTAGCTCAAAATTCAAATGTAGAGGTAACTATCAAATGTAAAGCATTAACAAAAATTACAAAAGTATATAATATTCAGTAATTCTATTAAACTCCTCATGTTAATATGAAACTATGTTCCAAATTTGACAAAATATTGGTGTAAGCGTTTAAAGTTTCAATCCTGAAATACAACAAACATGAAAGGAAAATAGCAAGCAAATAATAATATTTGTATTTGAATTTATGCGAAGGTTACAATCTTTATAAAATCTTTAAGAAAAGATATGTAATCCCCTGATTTTTCTCTTCAATGATGTTCTTGATTTGATGGAATACTTGCGGTTCAACTTTTGGAGCGAAGACTTCTTTGTATGCGGAAGACTTGAAGAGCAAGGATTCTCTATGTATTTCTATGTGTCTTCTTCTTTTTCTTACTTCTTTCTTTTGGTCTTATGAAGACCTCTTTATATAGGCTTGAGATAGGGTTTTAGGGGTATTTTTGTCCAAACAATTTTGGTCATCGGGCTTGAAGAACATGAGTTGGGCTCGTCTTGTCAACTTAATTGACTAACCCAAATGTGATTTGGACTTTATTTAAATCATATATTTTGACTGAAATATTAATTCGACTTTATTAACCAGTAATTTGACTTGGTCAATATATCATGAATTTATAGATTAATCCAAAATTTAATTTGAATTTATCAATAAAATTTTACTGTCTAGAAATGCTCCCTGCTTCGAGACTTGTTGCGGTGTCCAACCTTTAAAGACAAGGCTTGAAGCATTCGTGATTTTTTTTTATGGAGTCTTTCAAAACTTTTCATATTTGATTCCAATGGAAATTTTCCATAACTTGATTCCTATAGAAACTCACCATAATTTGGTTCCTAGGAAAATTTACCATTATTTTGTTTTAAATATGGTTTTTCCATAATTTGTAGGAACACAATTTATGTACTTTTGATTTCTATAAATATACATGCTCTTATAATGATTCATTGTCAACTTGAGGCATACCAAACTCAATTTTCGTCACTTTTTTTTCAGCACAGCACGCCTGCGGTAGAAAGTTCATAACTTGTTGTAGAAATATCGAAACCATGATTCGTTTGATGTTCCAGAAACTAGACTCAGAGAGCTACGACATATCCGAAATTCAAAATCAAAATCGTTCTGAATGGAAATTGATTTTTGAAGTTTGCTATCAAATCTGTCTTCCTTTTTTTACAGCTCTATGTAGTCTCACCAAAACATCTCTACCTTGGTGTAGGAGATTTCCAATGACGAATGACTTGATTCTATAGAAACTAGACATCAAAGTCTACGACATATCCAAAAATCAAGGTAAAAATCCTCATGAATTGACGATAATTATATTTTTGAAGTTGGTGATCTAACTGATTTTTGACAACATTCATGAGTTCACTTCTCTGCATCTTTGCCGAAGAGTCGCCTATTGAGTTCCATATTGATTGAGAATTTTATCATCATCTACATGGAGAGAACACAAAACTCTTAAGCCAAAACAACCATATTCATCATGACGAGCGCGAGAGCATATGCCACAATTTTTTTCATGCCGATTAGAAGCTTCGTGCAATTGGCACCGTGAGACACATCACTTTTTTTACAGGTTTACGATGGACTGCAAACATTCTCAATACCATACAAAAAAAGAGAGGGGTAATCCATAATTGACAAGGAATCACTTGATGCATCTTCATTTGTAGTTGCAATTTTTGACGACGAATCATACATGGTGCAAGATTTTAGCGATTGTGGCATTGATGAAGACGAATCACACTTCGTGATCTTCTTTTGCAATTGCGGCTTTGACGACGAACTACACTTGATGCATTTACTTTTGCAATTGCTGCTTTAGTAATGAACCATACTTAGTGCATCTTCTTCTACAGTCGCACATTTGATGATCAACCACACATGATGCATCTTCCTTTTTAATTGCGACTTTGACGTCGAACCATATTTACTGCATCTTCTTTTGCAGTTGTAACTTTGATGACGAATCACATATCATTGCATCTTCTTTTGTAGTTGTGAATTTGATGATGAACCACACTTGGTGCATCTTCTTTTGCAATTTTGGCTTTAGCGACGAACGACATTAGTACATCTTCTTCTATAGTTGCAACTTTGATGACAGACCACACGTGGTGCATCTTCTTTTAGAGTTGCGGCTTTGATGTCAAACCACACATGATTTTTTTTTTTTTTTGCAGTTGCGGCTTTAGCGACGAACCACACTTAATGCATCTCCTTCTACAATTGCAGCTTTGTAGAGAACAACACTTAGTGTATCTTCCTCTAAATGGAAGCTTGGCGATGAATCACACTTTGTACCTCTTTCTCTGTA